TCGGCCCGGCCCACCCCGAGTCTCTCCCGCCGCGACCGGAGCGAGGGAGCAGCCGCGGATAGAGGGAGCAGCCGCGGATAGAGGCCCCAGCCCCTCCTCACCCCCCGCAGCACCGCCGACCCCAGCAGCAGGAGGCAGATCTCCCTCCCGGATCCACAACCGCCGTCTGCCCCGGGCGCTGTCGGGAAACGTAGTCTGGGCCTGCTCGGCGACTACGACTCCCGGCACTCTCCGGGGCTGACAGCCTGGACTACTGCTCCCAGCGTGCCTCGCTGCTGTCTGGCGGCGGCGCGACCTTTCCCGTGATCCCCTGCGGCGGCTTCCGCGCGTCGCCTGAGGAGCCGCCGCGCTGCCGCTGCCGCTGTAGGAAGCGTTGCCCACAGCCGTGGTATGGCGGGTGCTGCCCACTGCTCGCTGCAGGTCAAGCGCCTGCTCTTGGACCCCAAGTTCGAGGGCTACAAGTTGTCCCTGGAGCCGCTGGCCTGCTACCAGCTGGGGCTGGACGCGGGTGAGGAGCGGGGCTGGGTCTGGCGGCGTGCGCGGCGCTGGGGGGGGTGAGCCCGCCGGGCCTCGCCTGCGGCCTGGCCGGCCCCTCGGGCAGCGGGGGAGGGCACCGGATCCGTCTGCGTTTCTCTCCGTTCTCTCGCGGCGCGCCGCGGCCCTGCCCGGTGGCCTGAGCTGGAGAAAGCCCGGCCGGTCTTATTGGGGGGGGCCTGCACGCCTGTCCTCTGTCGGGAACGGCGGGCAGTTAAGAGACACGGCGTTTCGTCTTGATTTTCCCCGTTATAAATGTCTGCAATGTTTTCATTGGTCACCCCTGCCAGCTTATGTGGCTTCACGGTGGACCAAGGTCTGTTTCTGTTGTCAAACCACTGCTTTACAGCTGTCTGCCCCCGTGAGTCTGAACCTAGTTTCTAACTGGGTAAGAAAATCTGTGTGACAAATGTGGCTGACTGGTGCATGCTTACTGAGGGCAGATGACCAGCTGAGGTAGTTCAGAGTGGTAGCGTACACTTGAGTGTGATAGAGTACATATTTTCTATAAACTTCAGCAAATTAGCTATTTTCCTTTCTTACTCTGCCCAGAGTTCAGAGGTGGCTCTTCAGGCTATGCATTCTATGCTCTGCTTATTCTGCTAAGCATTATTAACACTTGAGTTCCTGGTCCATTAATGGGTTAATTCACTGAGAAGAACATTAGGACAAAGTTGTGTTTGGTCTGTGCCTATAACCCTAGCCATGCCTCTTGAAATCTCTTAGCATTCTACCTTCAATAATTTGTGAAATGCAGGTCTCTTGTAAGGTGCATGAATTAGTTTCTTTTTTTTTTATAAAGCTGGAACAGTAATAAATAATTTGGGTGGACTGATCTCTGCCCCAATATATTTATTGAACAATATACCTGTCTACAGGGTTATCTGTTATGTGTTATTTTAGTTTTGTGTTGAATACATTGGATTAGTAGTGGATCAGAAAGGTGTGTTTGCAGTGGTGAACTGCGTACAACACAATAGAAGTTGTATGTGAATTGTGTGTTGAAAGACGAGTGAAGGAGACTGAGGTGATACTGTGTGTGTATCTATGATAGGACTGGAAAATTTAATGAGTAACGTTTTTGTTATGTATTTTGACGTTTTCACTGTAAGATTGATCTACGTGTAACCTTGCAAAAGATAGTCCAAATCTAAGTGAGCATACATGTGTTAGGAGTGTCCTACAGCTGGGTCAAAGATGGCAACAGTGTAGCATAGCATAGGTACAGTCTCTTAGTTTATCCTTTATTTGATGTTCTTCCTACGGTCAAACTAACTGTGTGGTTCTTGGATAGCCTGTGCTATCTTGTGCACCTGTCCTAAATAGATAAGGAATACAGATTTTCATTAAAATATTTGAATGATGGTGTTGCTAATGCAGAGATGGATCAGGTAATTTCTTGTCCATTCAGACATTTTATGTAATAGTTACAGTAACTTGTGCTGTAGCAGATTGATATGTGTGCCAGTGTTCTTTTCTTTCTCCATTTCCCACAGCTCAAAGACTCATTGCAGTCTAATGTACTTGGCAGTCCTACCAAATCATTAATACCAAGTCACTTATTCTGTTCTCTGTGTATGCATGTGTATATGTAGATAGACACAGATATCAGTCCACTGAAGAGTGGAAAGCTTTGTTGTTCTGTTGTTTGTTAAAGTTAGTAAAATGAAATATAAACCAAACCAGGCCCTATAGAGACCAAGCCAGGTCTTCTAGATGTTTTGTTTGTCCATATTTCAACCTGCTTTTAGGACCCACAGGCAGGAAGAAGTTTAAAACATTTCCTTATTAGATCTGTGGTAGAGGGGAATTTTCTAGTGAATTTCTTAAATGCATGGTGACAGTGAAGAAGAAAGGTGAAATTGTATTCTCTTATGTTCCCTTTTAAATACTCTGATTTGCATGTTCATTTATTTCTTCCTTACTGCTACCCCTTCTGTCCCAGTTAATCTAAACTTTCACAGTCATTTCTCTTTTGTCATCTCTCATCCTGGTAACATGTTTCGACTAGTAATGAGTCCCACACTATTTGTTGTTCATTTAGTTCACAACTCTTCATTCTAAATTTTGTCTATTTTATTCCTTATTTTCCTTAGTTTATTTCCATAACTTATTTTCAAATGCTTCCTTTGCATTGAGTTTGATAATGCCTTTCTTTTAGATTACTGATCCTTTGGGAAGGACAAAAGAGCGTCTCATTTACTGTCACCTCTTCTGCCCTGGTCTGATCTCAGCAGAGCCCAAAGCAGTGATTGTGGGACAAATCCATGTCTCCAACAAGGAGTATGTCTTAAGATGCACGACATTTTTAAAGGAGTGAGAACCTTCCTCCTGACCTCCACTGGTCAGATGTTAGTCTATTTTTTTTTTTTTTTTCCCAGAGGGCTGGAATTTGTTCAAATGTGGCCATCCCTCATGCCTTTTCCACTCTCTTTCCTAGTTGGGAGAATCATTGGATGTATGACGTAGTGTATGCTTTTAGATATAGTAACATCTGAAAAGCATAGTAAACATTCACTGCAACATGGAGCTCCGCTTGCGAGCCAGAAGGGTACGCAGAGAATACATTCCTTTGATCACATGCATTTATGTTTTTTTATGAAAAAATTGAGTTAATAAATGACTGCCTTATTTGCAGTCTGTTTAGACTAGAAGGTATGTACTTCAGTGAAAAGTAGTTACCCCTCAGTAATGCTACATGGAAAATATGCGTTTGTGTCTCTTTATGGAGCCAAAGGCACTGATATATTTCAAACAGTTATAGATATTTCCATTTGCATTTTCCATTTCCATTTGCAAAATTAAATATAGAAAAAAAAAGTCTTTAAAGTAGTATATGGGAAATACTAAGAAACTGTGAGCCATGGCTTTTTCAGACATTTACAGCTGCAGTTCATAAGTCTAGGTTTAGGTCTCAAGCATGTGTACATCTCTTCTTGTGTTGTACTCTAATTTCTTGGGAAAGAAAAAGATAGTGTAGAGGCAAGTTCTGCCTTGGAACTGTTGTTAGAGAAGCTGGCACAAGTCAACTTATAAATCAAGGCATTGCTATAGTGATACTTTCACAAATGCCTTGCTAGTTTTTGGATCTTGTTCAATTTAGTGCATGATAGATCCCATTTACTTCTCACACCTGTGTAAGTAATTTGGTCAGACAAAAATATTTCATTACATGGTATCTGCCAGCCTGTGCTTGTTTTCAGCAAGCTATGTGTTTATCAAACAGTAAATTCTTGCTTACTCTATTAATGTAGTTACTGCAGTAGAATAAACAATCCTTGTACTTTTACTCCCCAGCAGCAATGAGATGATGTTGCCATTAACAATAAAAACAGATTTGTTAATGGTAAAAGAAAAAGAATTAATACAGGGTTAGAAGGATCTTTGAATGCTGATACTAGAAAATAAGTTAATGTAATCTCTTCCACTAGTAGATAAGTGTATATGAAATACTAAATTGCTTCCACTGGGTGGCATTGTAAAACAAAGTATGACATACAAACATATAAGCATTCCGTGCCCCAAAATAATATGTCGATATAAGTATTTTACATATTTTTCAGTATTGTAAAGGTGGTTTGATGTATTCAGTAAAACATAAAAAAATGGGGGGGGGCCTTCTCACCCTTTTTTCTCTACTTTTTTCCTCCTTAGTTATGCTTTATAGTGTTTGATGGCAGATGTAAGACTTCACTATTCATTTAAAATATAAGTCCCTTGGTGGTGGGGAGGGGATTCAGAGTAGTATCGCACCTAACTAGGGTTGTTTGGAAATGATACTGAAAGCTGTATACTTGCTTTCTTTTCTGGTGTGACAGAGTATGAATCAGTGTTCCTGGGTTTTAGTAGTGCCAATTTATTTGTCAGAAACTTGAAGGACACCATACATCATTCGGTTGAATAGCTGTCAATAACTGCTGCATGTTAATTGAACCCAAAAAGCTGAAAAAACAGCCCACCAAAACCCCCAGAACAAAAAAAAAGAATCACAAACCAAACAACAACAAAAAATCCTGACCAAAAAACCAAACAAAACTCCACAAAAATATGTGACTGAATAAGGGGATAATCTAATTGAAGTATTTCTTCTTTTCCCTTTATATTAACTTTTCTTTTTCTGAATTTATTTTATTAAGAGCCTTAATTTCTTATCTTGTTTGTCCTTCATTTTTTTTGCACTCAGCTCTGTTGGTTTTCTCCTCATTTTCCCAAGGACCATCAAGAAAACATGAACCTGGAAGGCTGTAGAAAGGAAGGAATGAACTTCATCCTAGTGTAAAATCTCCTATAAGCTATCTGAGCACATGGTATGTAATAGCAGATGGCATTTGTGCACAGATTTCTCTTGATCGCAGAATGGGTCTCAATTAATTGAGGATGGAATAGTTTCTCTGATTACTTCTTGGCAGAGCTATATATACAGGATACGTTCTGTAAGCAGTTGATATCCTTATTTGAAGTGTTTCATGACAGTACAATACACATTTGTTTGATTTACTGGTTTAAAATCACCTACAAATTGTATAGTTTCTGACTTCTGTTTATGAAGAATTAATTACATATTGCAATTATGCAAGGGATTTGGATCTCCTATTCCAGACCCCTTATTATTCAGGGCTTTTCAGGAATAGTGACTAAAAAACTGAAGGACAGAGAATTTATTCATGTTGTTCCAGCTTTTATAAAGCTTATCACCTTACAATCAGCTAACCAGTAGTATATTGTTGCAAGAATTTTCTTGAAAGGTTATACATTTGCTTTAGGAAGTGTCTATTTGGGACTATTTTTACACTATTTCTATGTGTTTTAGTTACTATTCTGCCAGTAGCAACATGTCTAGGGATCAGGGAGGGAGAAGTGGAGAAATAAAGTCTTACAAAATAAGACAGTTTTAGGTTTTCTGTGCTAAAAAAGCTTACATGCTACCGCATGTGTATTAGAATTTCAGATCAGTTAATGTAGCTATACAGGAAGTAGATGACATGTTCTTGGTATCACTGAAAATAATTATCTTGGATTATATTTGGTTTTGCCTAATTGTTTACAGACTATTCACATCATCTCTTGTCGTGTTGGGAAAAATATCTCTCTGATAAAGCTTGATTGTACAAACAGCTTTAAAGTGCATTTTCACAACACATCCTTCTAATTTCTCTTACAGTGTAATTTACTGTAAAATATTCTAATTAGTTAAAGTAGAAATTGGAATGGGTAGCAGACTTTCCCATTACGACAGATGTATTTTCTTCTCCCTCTCTTGTTGATATTCTAGCTTTATTTGAAGGGCCATGGCCTGGGGTACAGTAATTTATTAATTGCAGAGGTACGGAAAGCCCTCCTGTGGGGTGAATATGAGTAATGATATGAGCTGAGTGTAATTAATAGTGTTGGTTTGCAGATATCAACAGTGATTATCAGCAGATGGATGGCTACACTCAGACTGGCGGTCTAAGGCTTGATATCCAAATCGTGACCAGTGACGAGTGGCATTCTCAGGGGTTGGTATTGTAACTGGTGCTGTTTAACATCTGTGTTGGTTACTTGGACAGTGGGATTGAGTGCACCCTCAGCAGGCTTCTCGATGACACTAAGCTGCCTGGAGCAATTGACACACTGGAGGGAAGGCATGCCATCCAGAGGAGCCTGAGAGGTGGGCCTCTGTGAACCTCATGAAGTTCAAAAAAGCCAAGTACAAGGTCCTGCACATGAGTCATGGCAATCCCAAGCCAATTACAGGTTGGACAGAGAATAGACTGAGAGCAATACTGAGAAGAAGGACTTGGGGGTGTTGATGGATAAAAAGCTCAACATGAGCTGGCAGTGTGTGCTGGCAGCCCAGAAAGCTGGCTGCATCAAAAGAATTGTGGCCAGCAGGTCAAGGGAGGTGATTCTGCCCCTCTACTCCTCTCTGGTGAGACCCCACCTGGAATATTCTGTCCAGCTCTGGGGCCCCCAACATAAGAAGGACATGGACCTGTTGGAGCGAGCCCAAAGGAGGGCCATGAAGATGATCAGAGGGCTGGAGCACCTCTCCTACGAGGACAGGATAAGAGAGAGAGTTGGGGTTGTTCAGCCTGGGGAAGAGAAGGCTCTGGGGAGACCTTACAGCAGCCTTCCAGTACCTAAATGGGGCCTACAGGAGAGATGGGGAGGGACTCTTTTATCAGGGAGTGTACCTATAGGATGAGGGGTAACAGTTTTACACTGGAAGAGGGTAGATTTAGATTAGATGTTAGGAAGAAATTCTTTACTCTGAGGGTGGTGAGACACTGGAACAGGTTGCTCAGAGTGGCTGTAGATCCCCCATTCATGAAAGTATTGAGTTGGTCAGGTGGGGCTTTAAGCAGCCTGGTCTAGTGGAAGGTGTCCTTGGCCATGGCAGGTGGATTGGAACTAGGTGACCTCTAAGGTCCTGACTCTAACTGTTCTGTGATTAGGAGACTAAATGCTAATTGTACTGTCATTTTGTAAGCATTTTATATAGTATGACTGGATTTTTTTATTAATCAGTGTAATCTTGCAATGTGTCCTATAGCCACTTTTATGTTAATAGCCAGTATCTCTAATGAGGTCAGTTCTCAGCTGTCTAGTGACTATGTGATTGATGGTATTGTGGTGGCTATGAGATGCCACTGATTGCACTCCCAAATGGACAGTTTGCAGTAATTGCTGTTCTGACAGAGTGGAATAAACTACTGCTGCTCCAGTAGGTTTTCAGTAGATGCTAAAGAAAAGTGTAAGAAATCTAAGATGAAGATTGCTGGATAGAGTTGTGAATGGTCTGTGTTACGGGGGTGGATGGAAGTGAAATACTGGTGGTGTGGTTTAGCCCCAGCCAGCAACAAAGAACCGTGTGGCTGCTTTCTCACTCCACCCCGTCAGAATTCTCACTTCTGTCAGAATTTAAGACTATGAAATCCATGTAGTTAGGTGGGATATTTCTTTTGGTTGCTAGCTTCTTGGAGTTACTGTGGAGTAAGTTTTCCCTTACTGTAATACCATATACAAATCAGGAATGATTTGTGCTCCTCCAAGCAGACTTAAAATTGTTGCATGTCTGTTTCATCTTGTGAGGGTTATTGACAAATTGAATCTCAACATATGTTGGGAAGAGACAGTACAGGTGTATTGGGTTTGCGTGGCCAGGCTTTGGTAGTGCAGGAGGGCTACAATGAGAACTTCTGTGGAGAAGCTGCTGGAAGTTTCCTCTGTGTCCAACAGAACCAATGCCAGCTGTCTCCAAGATGGAGCAGCTGCTGGCTGAGCCCATCAGCAACACCAGTAGTGCCTCTGGGATAATGTACTGAAGAAGGGGAAAAAGTTGCTGCACCAGAACAAAAGCAGCAGAGAGTGAATTGAGAATATGTGAGAGAAACCACTTTGCAGACACCAAGGTCAGTGAAGAAGGAAGGAGAGGAGGTGCTCCAGGAACCAGAGAAGAGATTCGCATGCAGCCCATGGTGAAGACCATGGGGAGGCAGTTTGTTTCCCTGCAGACTGTGGAGGTGAAGGTATCCACCTGCAGCCCTTGAATGACCCTATGTTGGAGCAGGTGGATGCGCCCGAAGAAAGCTGTGACCCTGTGGGAAGCCCAGGCCGGAGCAGGCTCCTGGCGGGACATGTGGAGAGAGAAGCCCATGCTGGAGTAGATTTGCTGGCAGGACTTGCGACCCTGTGAGAGGTCTATTCCTGAAGGACTGCATTCCATGAAAAGGACCTGCGCTGGAGCAGTTCATGAAGAACTGTAGCCCGTGTGAAGGACTCACATTGGAGAAGTTCGTGCAGGACTGTCACTGGTGGTAGGGACCCCACGCTGGTGCAGGGGAAAAGCGTGAGGAGTCCTCCCCCTGAGGAGGAAAGAGAGGCAGAGAGAGTATGTGATGAACTGACCGCAACCCCCATTTCCCCATCCCCCTGCCCCGCTGTGGGGGAGGAGGTAGACATAGTCAGGATTGAAGATGAGCTGGGGAAGAAGGAAAGGGTGAGGGGAAGGTGATTTTATTTCTTATTACTCTACTCTGATTTTGATTGGAAATAAATTAATTTCCCTGAGTCGAGTCTGTTTTGCTTATGATGGTAATAGGTGTGTGATCTCTCCCTGTCCTTATTTCAACCCAGGAACATTTTGTTATTTTTTTCTCTGCCCTGTCCAGCTGAGGAGGGGAGTGATAGGGTGGCTTTGGTGAGGACCTGGCATCTATCCACAACAGACCACCATAAATGGTAGTGGTTATTACATGATTGTCATGATTTCTGCTGGGGTGGAGTTAACTTTCTTGCTGGCATCTGGTGTAGTGCTATGGTTTGGATTTGGGGTGAGAAGCAGTGATTGTAGTGCAGTGATGTTTTTGGCTGTTGCTGTACAGTCAAGGCCTTTCCCACTCCTCACACTGCCCTGCCAACGAGCGAGATGGAAGGGCACATCAAGAAGTTGGGAGGGGGCACAGCTGGGGAAACTGACCCCAGCTGACCAAAGATATATTCCATCCCATGTGACATCATGCTTCATATGTAAAGCTGGGGAAAAAGAAGGAAGAGGGGGACATTTGGAGTGATGGTGTTCTTCTTCCCGAGTAACTATTACGTGCACTGGAATCCAGCTTTCCTGGGGCTGGCTGAACATTTGCCTGCCAGTGGGAAGCAGTGAATGAATTCCTTGTTTTGCTTTGCTTGCATGTGCAGCTCTTGCTCTACCTATTAAACTGTCTTCATCCCAACCTACGAGTTTTTCCTCACTTTTACTCTTCTGATTCTCTTCCCCATCCTGCTGTGGGGGAAGTGAACAAGTGGCTGCGTGGTTTCCAGCTGCCAACTGAGGTTAAACCACAACAGTGATCACAGTGAATCACTGCAGTGGCCTTCAGTGTGGGTGAACCAGCTTTCCAAGTTTATGGTGAAATTTTAAACTGTATACATAATGTATTTTTCTTAAAATAAACTGGACCTGTGGACTAAGGATGGAAGAATTATTTTTAAATTACTAGTTTGACCTTTAAATTATTAAATTATAAATAAGTAACTAAATAATTGTTAAAATAGTATTTTCTTTTTTTTTTTTCTCCACAGCTGTAGCAGAAGTGAAGCTTCGTGATGATCAGTATACCCTTGACCACATGCGTGCTTTTGGCATGTATAATTATCTTCATCTTGATTCCTGGTACCAGGATAATGTTTACTATGTCGATCAGTTTGGAAGAGTTATGAATCTGTCAGTGACTCTGGTAAGAAAAAACTTATTTTAAAAGTTACTGAATTTGAAAAGATGTGGGGTAGATAAGGTAGAAAATATGGCAAGTAGGATCCGAATGCAAAAACTGGGGGCAGCTATTGCCAGGAAGACAGGTAGATTAACAAAAATGTGGTTCATCAGGAAGGATGAAAGGATCTTAAGTGAGGTTTCCAACATCTTTTCGTTAATAGTATTGCATTAGTATTGCAATAGTGTTGCATTTGCTTCCATCCTGGGGAAGATGCATATGATGACAAGTTGAAGAAAAGAATAGACACTTATTTTCTAGTTGCTGGCTGTTTCTCTCCTTTGTTACTTGATGTTTGTTTGTTTGCTAATTTGAAAATCCAATCATTGTAGATATGAGGAAAGAAAGAAACTACGCAGGACAATTAAGAAGCCTTTATGGACTAATAGCTTAATCTAGGCATCACTTGTTAGAGGCAAAAAGATGCTGGTGGCCCTGGGCAAACATGAAATAGAGTGTAAGCAAACTAGGCCAAGTCTGAAAAAGATGACAGTTCTCTGCTTTTATACTGATATTCTTAAGTAGTCAAACTTTTCTATTTCTTTTGAGCCATTTTAATGCATGGATGCACTAGTTTCCATTACAAAGCTACTCTTCATTCTGGAGGGGAAAGGACTTGGTTCTATAGGCACAATGTTCCTGCCAGAAACATTGTGCCACATGCAATTGTAGTGTGTGGTCATTTAGGAATAAAAGACTGTGTGGAAAGGAAAATAGCCATTCACATGTTACCAAGGAATTTGTCTTCTACCTTGTGGGCCAAAGAAAACAGGGTGATATGTGATTTTTTTGAGAGAGCGTGGCTTACCTTGTGCAAGGTTCTGGAGGTGGAACTAGGCCAGGGCTAGGCTGAGAAAAATTCTGAAATGGTACTTCTAGATTTTTTCAGGAAGTACAGGTTTCCAGAGGATGGTAGGCTGAGAACTGAAGCTGGAAAATAGTTCTTTTACTTTTCATAGAACACGGAAGCAGTTGGATCCTTTGACAGACTCTTGCTGAGACAGAATAATCTTCTGGGACTTCTTCCAAATCTTTTGAGATCATCTGGATTCCCCATAGGAACATAGAAAAGAAAGAAGCTTGTCAGGGAAAGCCTTCTGTGAACAGTGGCTCGTCACAATCTCTTTTTTTGGTGTTTTTTCCTTGTGGTTGGTTAGCCTTGGCTGGCTGCCAGACAACTACCCAGATGCTCTCTCGTTCCATCTCGTTAACATGGTGGGGAGATGTGAACGTCTCCTCCACGCTCCCGTCTCAGCTGCCAGGCTCAGCCGTGCCCTGTGGTGCAGCCATGGGAGAGGGTTGGAGGAGGCTGTGTCCAGCCTGGGGCAGCCCTGGCCTCTCCTCCTGGGGACCACCCCTGCCCCTCCACTGCCAGCACAACAGAGGCACCTAGGACATTCCCTTATTAGAAGGGCACTAAAGTGTGTAAATTTCTTTCTTAGCAGATAAACTGGATAAAGGATTTTACATCAGGCAGTAATTTCCATTTTTATGTGCAGTAAATTGAAATAATAAATACTCTTCTCTAGATCTGGTGGGTCCAGTGGAATCTTCAAAAAATGGCACTTCTAATATCTTGTCACACGTTTCAGTTCCACTGGACTGTGAAATAAATGACCACCTTCTTGTGTCCTAATGCACAATACAGGGCTGTTTTGCAAAGGAAACATGTTTGCATATGAATAAAGAGGAATGTTTATTCAGAAGCATCAAAAAGGTGTCCCATTACAAATGTGCCTAGCCATATATTAGTCAAATGTATATTACAAATAATACTGTTTTCAGCCAAGTATAGCTTACAAGTTAGCAATGGCCACATTTAAAATTCATGTCACTTCTTTAAAACAGAAGATGGAACAGGTTAACTTGGTTGTCCTAAATCCAAAGTGAAAGAACAGATAGGCTGTTTAACACGTAGCTATTTATAGTTCTTCCTCCTCTTTTGGTTGCAACTTTGATTCTAATATGGCAGTGTGTTAGTTATCCGTAAATCACGAATTATCCCTGCAACTTAGGTGTTTAAAAAGATGTCATCTGTGAAGGCCAAAGGTATAGATAATAGCTTGCCACTTGCTCAAAATCAAATATAATTGAAAAAGAGAAGTGATTAACATGAGCAGTTTTTCTAAGTCAGTGGATGAGTATTCAGGTGGGTTTTTTTATACCAGTTGAGGAAGTTGTTACCCTTGGCTGGAAATACTGTATAGAAGCATTAACATTCTTCTATTACAGCTGTTGGGCTTCTTTCATTCAACAAGCCAGCATCAACATTTTGTTTTAAAAACCCAATGAGTACCATATTGGCAGAATTCCCAAGTTTATTTTTTTGGATTGTTGCGTATTTTTTGGCATCTGACTTGATTTTTTTTAATTGCTTGATGTTTGTAATACCATAATATAGCTCGAAAGTATTTGGAGATTTTTCCTCCAGCGGTTAAAAACTTGGACTTGTTTTCTCAACCTTCATCTCTTTTTGCAAAGTGTGGTCTTCTGTAATATTACATCGCATAGTCCTGTAAGTCACTTGTAACAGGGATGGTGCTTCTTCTTTCTGTGATAAGATGCATGGAATTTTAATTTTTTTTTTTTTTTCTAGGCACAGCAGTCATTGCTAGTTACAATGGAACACTTTTGTTGTAGAAAACACTGCCTTTAAGTGAAACCTTAAAATAAAGTAAAAGATGAGGAAGCCATAATTCTTTGTATTTAGTGTTTGTGGGATTTTTGTTTGGGTTGTGCATTTTGGGGTGGTTTGGGTTTTTTTTGTGTTGTTGTTTTTTTTTTTTTTTTTTTTAATTCTTTCATTCTCCCCTCCTGAATGTGTTAAAATTATTGGAATAGTTCAAGGGGGCAAAGTGATGCAACTAAATCTACAAAGTGCCCCTGAATGCTTCCAGTAATTAAAAATCAGATTTGCTTCTTTTCCGTGGCAGGCTCCGTCCAATAAGCCCTTGTGCCTTTCTGTGGTCACGCTAATCTCTAATATGAATTCAAGTAGGCTCAAAAGGCAAGCAGGCTATCTGTTTGGCATCTGGTCTTTTATGCTGTTGCTTATTAAAATGGTACTTACCCAAATCCAATTTCTCTTGCTTACCTTCGAACATGTTTTAAATACACATCTGATTTTAAAAACATCTGGAAAATATTTTAAATCCCCTCAAATACAGGATTCTCAGCAAATGAGGCCATGATATGCTTTACATGCACAAATGTGCTCTTTCTGTGTTGCACACATGTGCACTAGTGCAAAGAACTTTTAAAGATGAGGCTTTGTATGTGTATTTTTGACTGCCTTATTTCATAGATCAGAATGAGTGAGTTTCTATTACTAGAAGTAGATATACATATATAGATTATTTCTCCCGCACCCCTCCCAAACTACCCATTGCTAGAGTGAAAATAGAGGGGAAGCAGATGCTTAGAAAATATAATAATTTGTGGCTGATATTTCAGGCCTTGTAACGATACACTACTATAATCCGATACTTTATCACTGCTATTTCTTAATTGCATCCCCACCATTACTATAGTAAAGAAGTGCATTTTGTGTGGTGCTGAATAGATAAATACTTGTTTCCTCCCAGGTTTTCAGTACAAATATGCTTCTGTTTGTGCTTTCTTTTACGTGCTTGTAAATATCTTCAAAACTGTCCCTGTAATGTTTTTATTTCAAATTGTATTGTTCTTTTTTAAAAATATATTTCTACTTAAATATCTTCTCATTTTAATGACGTTAATACTGATTTTTAGTAATAAGGGAAGAATTTCCTTATTGTTAAGCACAGTTTTCTGATTTGCGGACCTTCTGAAATAACTGTAAATCAGCTGACTGGAAATGAGCCTAGTAAAATAAAACTGAAAATAATTTAATTGGCTCTATGATTATTAGTTATGGTCTCGACATAGTCTATTTGTTGTTGGATTAAGAAGATAAATAGGATTTAAAAAGGGAAATGTTGATCTGTAAAGGCCAGTCAGGCACCTTTTTTTTCCAGAGAGAACTGTTTACGTGTTCAAATATATGTAGGTACACTAATCTGCAAAATATGTATGAAATCTGTTGTATCTAATTTTGTTTCATTAATGATATATATATATATATATATAAAACTGTCTTTGAGATGAGGGGAAAGGACTGTAACTTTATGAGGAATGTTTCTTTAAGGTACAGAACAGAAGCAACAGGAATTCATTTTGTTTGTTATTGCTGGAAGACCTTTTTGGAGATCTCAGATCAGATCCTGAGGTCTATGAATCGGTATAAGGGGCAAGGTTGTGAATACTTATTTTAAATAAATAAAAATAAATAAATATTGTATTGTTTGTGTCCACTATTTGTTTTAGAATCATAGAACAGCCCAGGTCGGAAGACACCTCAAAAGATCACATGGTCTAGCTTTTCATAGGAAAATGAGCCTAGCACCTTGTCCAGTACCATCGTGAAAACCTCCAGTAACGGGCACTCTGCAGTGTCCCTGAGGAGGTTGTTCCAGCCATTGATTGTTCTCACTATAAGAAAATTCTTCTATGTCAAGATGAAACCTCTTCTGGTGTGACTTTTACCCCTTGCCCCTTGTCTTCTCTATGTGACTTCATAAGAAGAAAGAGCCTCCGTCCTCTCTGTAGCTCAGCTTGTTGGCCACCAGGACCCTCAGGTCCCTTTTAGCAAGGCTGCTCCCCATCCATGCAGATCCTAGCCTGTACTGGGCTCTTTGGTTATTCAATCCCAGGTGGAGGACCTTGCACTTTCCTTTGTTTCTTTTCACAATGTTCTCACTACCTGACTCTTCAAGGCTTATCTGGGTCTCTGTACAAGATGGCTCTCCCTTATAAATGTCTACCTCATCACCTAGTTTAGTGTCACTGGCAAATGTGGTGAGGGTGCTTTCAATCCCTTCATCCAGGTAATTTATGGAGATGTTGCACAGGATGGCGCCTGGCATCAGTCCCTGGGGAACCCCCCTTGTGACAGAACTGCCAGCCTGTTTTAGCAGCTACATAGTTCATTTGAAAAATATGAAGCAATTAAATTTCATTGCAGTTATTTGAAATATTATAGAGATGTAGACTGGACATACAGCAACATCATAGTCACATCTTAGGTTCTTCTGCAAGACTATTTCGTTTGTGTTCTTAATACTGCAGCCTGATCTACTTCATAAGTGGTGGATGAAGTTGTATTGCTGATAAAGCATGTCCTGACCATTTTTTTAAACTGTAGTGCCAAGTTCTTTTCAAATCATGAAGATTTGGTCAGGGGAGGTTTTTTTCTAGCAAGCATCTTGGATATTCAGAGATTACTTCAACTCAGAAAAGAAGGTAAATAATAGTCTTAAACAGGCAAGAGCATTGCTGGCATTCTGCAAGCCACATAATGAGTTACAAAGCCTTATTCAGCAAAGAAAGGACTGTATGTAAGAGTGAAGGCACAAGATAAAGAATAATCCCTAAAAGATATCCTGGAAGACATGCCTTTGTACTTAATGACAACAGTTGGAAATCCAATTTACAGCACAAAAGCAATTTCTTCTGTTAGAATTAGCAGGAAATGAAGAAGGCAGCACAGAGCTAAAGCAGGACTGCTGAGAACAATTACTAGAAATATAGACAAAATTGTTAATCTAACATTCATTTTATGCTATTATGCAATCAGGCTGTTTTATGTAAAGCTTATACAGCAGGAAAATGGATTTTTCTTGTTTATTTTGTTTTGGGGTTTTTTTTTGTGTAAAATTTAGTGTTATGTATCGTTTCGTAAAAATCCACGTCTTTATTGCTCACTGGAGAATTATATCATCTGTGCATTTTGTTTGCTATAGAGTCTCTGTTCATTTAAGCTCAGAAGCTATCGTGCTTGTAGTTTGGCTTAAAAAACAAGATTGCAGTATTCCACTAAAACAGTATTCTAAATATATTTATCGTGATGCATAGTATAATCATAATGTAATGGAAAAGTTATTTGGAAACATGATATTAATTAGTACAGCATTTCTTTGCTATCTAATCACAGTTATTACTTCTCTAGTTTATTGAATAAAATGACTCTAGGAAAGCTGAGAAATTATGTATTGTCTTGAATATACTAGTTGTGAAAGAGAATAGGCTAAAATTCTTAATTTAGAAGTGAGTTTTATGAACTAGTTTGAGTATAATTCTGTGGCTTTAGTATCTTTTAAAGTCTCCACATTTTTACTGCGACTAGAATTATTTGAGGTAAATGGTTAATTATATGGCAATACTAGGGGAAAAGAAAAGACATTTTTAATGCAAAATGTAATTAGTGCTGTAAAATAGAAGGGAAAAAAATGAGTGCTGAAATATCAATTATAGAGCATTCATGCTTTTTGTAAATAGAAACCAACTCAATGATGACATTCCACTACCATTTCCTACTTTTTTTCCAAATATGCTCAGCTGCACAAAGAAACTGGTAGATTGCTACTGAGATTTGTTATTCTTCATTTGTCTGTAAAACTTGCTGAAATTGATAAATACTTAGTCTTAGTGCGTGACTGTTTACTTATAGGACACTGCTCTACAAAAACCAAGAGAAGTTTTCAGGCTACCTACAGACCTGACAGCTTGTGACAATCGCCTTTGTGCCTCAATACACTTCTCATCTTCCACATGGGTTACCCTTTCTGATGGCACAGGAAGACTGTTTTTAATTAAGTCAGGCAAGCGTGGAAACAGTGCATCTGAAAAGTGGGAGGTAAGTCTTGCAATAACATTTTTAAGTATTATACATATATTGAATAATTCTTATTCTTGCATCTTATGAGATCTGCATGTATGTAATGTTGTGAAGAATTAAGCTTTAAATCATAACTGTCACTGATACAGCATTGTGTTCAAGCATAAAAACCACTGATTTTTATACTAATGTCTAAATTAATGATTTCTTTCTGCACAAAATTTATAAAAAACAAGTGTTTGAAGGGGAACAGTCTTTTGACTGAAGAAGAATCGAAGTGTTTCTAAGTAGGTTCTTAAGTCTGTGTCTAGCCAAACTTTTTCTAAAAACCATTTCCCCTTTCCCTTCTCTATTTGTATGTGTCTGTCTAGGTTTTTTTGCCCCCATCTTTTATTGTTTGCTCTTTTGGCTGGCCTGTGGAATGATACATATTTTTTAAAAAGGCCTGAAGTTAATGTCAACCAAGCTAAAAGCTAGTTTAATTTTTAAGTTAGGAGATTTCTGGTGTGTGTGATGTTTGTCTGTGCAGATATAATTGTGCTTGAAATAGTCACCATTTAGTTTGCCCCAGCTTACAAATACATCCACAGAGACTGAAATAAAACTTAAACAAACCTGCTGATTAAAAAGCTTTAATAAGTAACCCTGAGGGTCACCTGCAGAGCAGGTATAATGTAAGCAAAATTATTTCTGCCTCTCAGGTGGGAAAATCTTCATACAGTGCACTTAGCTCTGGAAAATTATCACTCCTTAATATTTTTACTTACAATTTTTGGTTGTAACTGAAGAATGTTTTCATGTTTCTTTTGATTAAATTGTTTACATAATTAACTCTTTTAACGAGTCTTGATACGGGACATTTTTTTACTACACTAATAATGGTATTGGTTATTCTGCTTGGACACAACAAATAAAATTAAGTTACATTTCTTCCTGAGCTACTGTGAGTCTTGTGGTCTGTGCTTAGTTCCTCTTTATTCATGAAAGATAAATCTGTTATAAGGAGCCTACATCTTGCATCTATTTTCTTTATTAAAGGACAGTTTTCTAAGCAGTCAAGGAGGTTTTGTAATTGGTGTGAACTCAGGTATATGTACTGAAGTGGAAGATTTCAGCATGATAGATCGGCTCCTTCCCCTGCATCTTTTGAGAATTCAGTACACAGGAAACTGGTCGTCCTGTCCTTTAGATGGTTGGTTCTGTGTGAGAATGCTGATACATAAAAAAGTTGCATGGCAGTTGTTGATGTAACAAAACCAGGTGATTCATATGTTGAGATTAACCTCAATTTAAATTCACTCTTTGAGTATTTAGAGCACCCAGTGGTTTGCAGTTTACCCATTTGATATGCTGTGTTCATGGATCCTCTCCTGTTCATCAGTTGTTGTACAGCTACTTATTGTAGTAGTAAATAGCCATAATGCGGCCTGTTTTGTGGATCTTTGTGCTTTGTGTAATGGGCCTTTATAATGATTTTTATAATATAAACAATAATAATTAAAAGTGTTTCAGAACACTGGCTTGATAGCCAAGGAAGAAGGAATCAGAAGTGTATGACATTCATGGATTGATACTGGCAGAGGGGTTTCTGGGAAGCAAATTTTAACTGATTTGGCATTCACTGAAGCTTTGCAGTGCTTTCTCAGAAAGAGCAAGGCTTCTATTGTAACTGACTGTGACTTCTTACTACAATTTTGTTTTCTAGATTGTGTTTAATGAAGAACTAGGAAGTCCATTTATTATAGCACACAGTGTTTCATTTGTAAAATCTGATATGCATTCAGTGGCTGTGCTGCTGCTTAGGGTAGAAAAAGATGAATTGGACACAAAAGGAAGTGGATTTCATATTACCTTGGAATGGGTTACAATTGCAGAGATAAGCAAAGAGGGTAAGTGTTTTACATTTATATTACTGGTGAGTAATGTTTAAAAAAAACCTCATGCCTTTATTCTTTGTTTTAGAAGTTGATTGTTGCTCAGGTTCTAATAGTTCCCCAAAACTTCAGCTTGACATTTACATAGGTAATTTTTCCTTACATTTTGAGGTGAAGGTACTGGTTGTAGACCTAAATTCTGAGAAACATTTGGAAGCCAGAAAGAAGTAAAGTTTTTTACATGTGTAGTTAATGTAATTAGAAAACAAGGTAGAACATTACTTTGTGACGTTATGAAGTGCAATTCCTCTTTAGCTTGGTCTTGTAAAATCAAGGTTGTACACAATTATTTCTAAATAGTGTCTGTTGTACTTTCAAAATGTTGTACAGCTGGATATGGTTTTTTGTTTGGTTATGTTTTGGGGGTTTGTTGGTTTTTTAGCCTCCAATTAACAGTGCTGTGGGATTGGAATTAGTATGCAATAAAGATAAGAACTGTAGCATAAAAAGTAAATACTGCATATTCTAGGTTTTCCTACAATAAGAGTATGAAGTTATTCAGTTAATTTTAGACCAGCATACTAAAAGCATATTAGTTAATGTATTAATACCTACTAATTAATGTATTATCCTAATAAAGTTTAGCAAAGGGTAACTTATCTGCTCGATATGACCATGTATACTTACTTTAAATATCATGATTTCCATAAAGGATACAAGATCTCATGCTTCAGTGTCTGATTTAAAGATGTGTGGATTAAATTCACTTAACTTTTTGGCAAGACTTTGGTACAGTCTCGTTCATTATCTTCCAAAGGTATAATTTTAATACTGATAGAAACAAGATCTTTAACTACTTGAACCAAAGCAGCTGATTGCATACTGCAGTGTTACTATCCAAATGTTCCTCAGTCCTCCTGCATACATAGTATGGAGACTAGACTAGACTAGACTATTTCAGTTGGAAAGACCTACAAGGATCATCTAGTCCAACAGCCTGACCACCTCAAGTTAAAGCATGTTAATAAGGGCATTGTCCAAATGCCTCTTAAACACTGACAGGCTTGGGGCATTGGCCACCTATCTTGAAAGCCGGTTCCAGTGTTTGACCACCCCCTCAGTTAAGAAATGCTTCCTAATGTCCAGTATGAACCTCTCCTGGTGCAGCTTTGATCACTTCCCACTGCCCTATCAGTGGGTACCAGGGAGAAGAGATCAGCACCTCCCTCTTCACTTGCCTTCCTTAGGAAGCTGTAGAGAGCAATGAGGTTGCCTCTCAGCCTCCATTTCTCCAAACTAGACAAACCAAAGTCTGTAGCCCCTCTCTTCATAGGACATTCCTTCAAGCCCTTTCACCAGCTTTGCTGCCCTGAGTGGCTTTATTCGTGTTGTCTGCTGTTGAAACCTTGGGTGGTGGAAATATCTCTGAGAGCCAGAAAGTCACCTGAGATTGCCTTATGCTTTTGTGGCCAGCTCAACAAGAGGAACAAAGGAGGTGACCATTGCTTAAAGAGAGCACTAGCACAAACTTTTATTATATTTTGTAATATTCTATATTTTCATAAATAAATTATTTTTTACAGTGTGTTTATTAGGACATAGGACAAATGTTCATGGAGTGAAACATTTTCCATAAAATGGATTTTAAAATCTTTCCAAAAATCTTGCCAATTCTCCAGTATTTCCAAGGAACAAACAGACAAAAATCTTGTAATTACAGCAGAGATGTAAATCACAGGATTCAAAGCAAACTTTAATTATGAAGAAAGAAATAAGTTTTGATTTCTGTTAAATAAACATCTCGCAAATCAGACTGATGCATGAACCAGTCTCAAAGATAAAAGCTGTTTTGAGGAATTACAATACTTTACATACTCTTTCATCAGTAGGCAATTGCTGTGCTTAACTTTTCTTGAAACTCTGCCTGTGGATGCAATTTATCAAATCAGATTGTGGTAAAAATAAGTAGTTAATCAACAAGCCATTTCTCAAATTACCAAAATCTGTGCTTCATCAAAGCAAAGCCTTACAATGTAGTCATGTCTCTTGACACCAACAAGACTGTGAGAGTCTCTGCCGTGTCTGGTTGGCCCCACAAAGTGATCTCACCTACGGCTATTGTATTACCAAAGAACAGAAATGGAAGCAAGAAAATAAACTTGTATGGAAACAGTGGATAGATCTGTTCATATCTTGTGTGGTGCTTCAGAGGGTTGTGACAAAGGTGTACCCTTTTGCAGTTTGTTGTTTTCTTTGGTTAACTAATGTTTTAGGAATCCTCCCTGTAAAAGCTTGAAATGAAGAACCACTCTGCTGCTTGATTAAGCTCAGAAAATGTCACATGCTTAGCTTTCTTCTGACCTTCTTTACAAGAAAAATCATATGGTATAAATTTACAGAAAAGATAATAAAGGCTTACTTAAAAATGTAAAAGTGTTGGTGATTGGTTGAAAATACTCCACAAAAGGTTTGGTCATACAATGGCAAGTTGTAGAGGAGGTTGTAGAGCCTTTTAACAAGTGAGCAAATGCTGTAAGAGAGGCGTGCAAAAAAATGTAAACAGTAAAAATCAGTCAGTTAAATAAGAGCTCGTTCAATGAGTGGCTAACTTCCCACTGCAACAAACACGTGCCCCTCTTGGTCATGTATCTAAGCCAAGATAAGTTTTTAATCTTTTAAAGCAGGCTACCCTCCTTGGAGTCTTTTTTATTGTATAGATCTCTGTCTCTAATTAGAATGATTGAATCTCTTCATCTAACTGCCCCGGCACCCCAACCAAACTTTTTTAGGAAAAAGAAGGGGACTTTAACACCACTAAGTACCAGAATTATAGTCTGGTTATTACTCTTTTCTCCACTTCTTCCTTAGCAAACAATATAACCAATTGAGAGGACTTAAATTGCACCTGGCTTATCCATTATTACGGATAAACATCTATGACTTCACTGTTTCTCTAAGCTTAACATTGAGGTCAAACAAGAACACATATTGGAGTACTAGAGTGGCATAGGTTATTTTTACCATCATAATATTGTCTTGTCTAATGTGTCTGCTGATGATTCTTGATTCTTTCAAGTACAGTTGTAGTTACAAGTACAGTGATTTCTTTTAATAGAGTTGAAGCATAAATGTAAAAAACTAAACAATTCCTGAGAATAATTTTGATCACCTGTGAGGGCTTTATCAAGTTGTTCATTTTTTGCTAAAAGTCCATTTGCACAATGTGTTATTATTCAGAAGTTGATAAATTGCTGAGGACTCTGCGGGCAGTAGGAGTCTAATGGGAAAAGAACAAACCTTGTCCTAAAACCTGTCACCTTACTGGTGTTTTCAGTCGTCAGTACTCGTGTTTGGGAGCACAGTAGAGAATAGCGTGGACCTTGACGCCAGTAGCTAACATTAGGGACCTCCCCTTCAAAGCACAGTGTTTTACAGAAGCTGAGGAAGATGGGCATTTTTCATTACGAATAAACTGTTACCACTATCTTATTTCATTACTTCTCAAGTTTTTACAGCAGCTCAAAAAGTGTTTGGAAAACTTGTTCACACAGAGGCTGTGAGTGGTTTTGTGAATTGCTGGGCTGGCTGTGATCAACAAAGTCATCAAAAGAAAAAAGGTCAATGTTAGATTAACTTTAGGGTCTATATATTTAACAAACTCATTGGAAAAGAGAAGATAAATTTTGTTTCAAATCATGGTACTGTGATTTAACTGATAGGATTGCTTATTATTTTTAAGTGTAATGAGATTCTTGTATAACAATATTATCGCTAAGATTTTAATTTCTTTTTTTTTTTAATTTTATAGGTGATCATAGATATGAAATCTTTAAAAGGAGAGTTTTACAAGGAAAATCTGTCCCCCATTATGCAGCAATAGAGCCGAGTGGGGATGGCCTAATGATTGTTTCCTACAAACCATTCAAATTTATACAAGATGAAGACAACAATTTAGAAGAAGAAAAAGATGATGCAGAAGCAACAAATGAGAAGAAAGGTAAGACTTATCTGGCAGATTATGAGAGGCTGCTCTCTTGGTTTAGGAAGTAGCTTGTCAGTTTGGCATCTGTTTGGAACCTCTGGCAATAAATGTTTGTCTCTATATGTATCTTCCAGATTACTTGTTTTTTAAGGAGAGATTGGCTTTTTGTTTGTCTGTTTTCACCCTGGGAGGTTTTATTGTGCATAAACCTCTATGAGAAGCTTTTCTGGATTTTTGTTTTCTCTTTTTCTTCTCTTTAAGAGATAATTTTTCTTTTGCTAACCTAATGTAGGCTATAATTTTTGTTGTGTGGTTATATAAAATAGCAGACATAATAGATACCAGATGATGAAATAAGATGTGCCAGTAATAGAACTCAATCGATAAAGAAATATTAAGGCAGTTATGTTGCACATCAGTATTTTGGTTTTTAATTTGTTCTTTCATAGTCTCCTCTGTATATTTTTGACAACTTATGGGAAGGCTGTATTGAAGATGGGGGAGAGAGGAAGTCTAAGCTACTTTTTTGGTGTCACTCAGTTTTCTTATAAATTAAGATTTCTAATAACAGATACAATCTGTGTCAAATATAGAATTTTGAAGGTTGTAATTTCTCATATATTAGTAGTTTCTGGGAAGTATATCTGTAGCACCTGTGACTGATTCATTGCAAACAGGAGACTCGTGGTAACAGGATCACCTAATCTTGTATTGTGTTGTGACAACTTGAGAGCTTCCAAAGGGTCTATTCATATTTTACTTTTCCTCAAACAAGAAGGTAACATGCAATATTGCTTCTGCATTTGTGTCTTCTGTGACCAACTGTGCACTACCCAGTTATGCCTTCCTTTTGTAGAAACACTTCTTGTGGAAGTTAAATAATCAAGATAGACATCAGGCAGATACTAGACACAGGAGCAAAAGTCAAGCATCACCTCTGAGCAGGCAGCTTTATTTCATCTCCATCAGCTGAGGCAGATGAAGACTTCTTGGTCTGTTGAATAGCCAGTGTAGCTTCTGGTGAAATAGATAAGAAAAAAATGTCCACATCTCTGAACGACATACACTTCTGAGCACACAGTAGCTTGTCAGTACCACTGCACCTGATGTCTCTTCAACCAAATTATTAATAATTAATGTTTCAGTGTATTTAAGTACATTTAGTTATTAATTTTGTAATGCAACAATCAACTAAGAGTAATAGTTAATGCCCATTGTATAACTAACTATCAACATATTTGAGTCTAGATATGAATATAAATTGCTTTCCTGATGAGGAACACAAACGAACTTGATTGCTAAAAAATGTTTCCCCTTTTATAATCAGAATATATTTTATGTAAAAGTTCATTGTAATAGTTAATTTCCACTCTTTCACAGACTTCTACTCCTTGTCTCCCAGCATTGCGTGCTGTGGAATCGAGGACAGCATTCGTAATCTAGTTTGTATTTTTCTGCATGTTTCCAATTGTAGACCCTCTCTATTACTGGCAGCAGACTGAAGATGATGTGACAGTAACAGTTCACATTCCTCAAGACATCACTAAGGATGACATAAAAGTATGCTTTTCCCCTGATAACATACGTGTTACACTGAAAGACCAGCCTCCTTTGATGGAAGGAAAACTCTATTCATCTGTGGACCATGAAAGCTGCACATGGATAATTAGAGAGAACAAAAGGTGTTGTATATAGTTTTTAGTTTTTCTATTGACAGGAATTGATTTCAAAGTATATACCCTGTCTCTAATCCCTCTGGGAATGGACTCATTAAATGCTATGCCCTGCCTCCCTCCTTACAAGAATCTATCTCCTCTGCTGAAAATAGTCTCACAATGCTGTTTCTTTAGTTAATCGTGAAAGTAATCCCCTCCTCTTACAGATACTTGCTTATAAGCTGTATTCTATACAGCTGTGTTTTACAACAATGTAGAACAGCCTTTCCAAAATAATAAACTCTTATTTTGTTGACCACCTCACACTATTTTCTCATGCTTTGCCTGTGTTTATTGGCAGCCAGGGTTCATGTCCTGTTCTGATGTTGTCAGTTGCCTTTCTAAAACAATATTTGAGGATACAAGCTACTGGAGATAATCCATGCATGGCTGTATAACTACCTGGTTATTTTTATTCTCTTTGAGAATAATCTTGTCCATTCTCTTCTAGTTGATCAGAATGGAAAAGTGAATAGGTAAACTGTTAAATGATTTTCATAAAGATAGTGTATCATAGTTATGAAACTTTGGTGGTAAATTCAGTAAGTGAATTCAGTAATACTTTGAAGTACTAAAGAAAAACTTCATTTTTCCCAAATAGCCAGCAAAAAAAAAAAACAGGTATCAAAATGTTAAACATAACTTTGTAACCAGAGTAAACTTAATTGGTTCAACAATTTTTGTTTTCACTAAATTTTATGTTTGATTAGCAGGAATTTACACTGTTGTTTATGGTAATAATTTCTCTTGTACTGCAGCTTTCCACAAACAGAAGCTTTTTTGTTAATAACATAAGAGATATTCTTCAGGTGTGACTTATGAATTCATTATTATTATTTTCTTAATACATTGTACATTATATACATGATACAAAATTAATCTGTGTGAGCTCAACATGCTGTAGACTTCAAATAGAAATGTTTACGGTTTTATTTTAGAAGTAAATCTTAATTGGCTCTTTCTGAAATAAAACACAAAAGAGTGAAGGGGGGAGAGGAAGAATTCAGAGCTCCCTAAACCATAATCAAAGTTACTACTTTTTTTTTTTATTATTATTTCAAAGCCTTTTAGTCCTAGAAATTTAGTTGTGTAATAGAGAACTGCAACCGAATTTTGAACATCTAAGTTTGCTTTCTACTTGGCCTCTATATCGTTAGTAGTGCCACAGGAGGGCCCTTCAGACCCCTAAACTGATCTCAGTGATGTGTTCAACCATTGGGTTAGAGGTTTTTGTGGGTGTAAATTGTCTGCAACATTTACATTTGCATCAAAAATGCTTCATATCTGGAAGGTGACACAATATTCAGATTTACTTCCACGTATGTTTCTGCACATGTAAAAGGGAGTGTGGTCCCTATATATTTGGAAATTTACCCTTTTGAGTTTTATGTTTGAGACTTGAAAATAAAAGCTTGTGTTATAAGCCACTTTTTTTTGCATTGAACTGGCACGGAGCAGAATGTGTTAGTTGTCTCCGTTTTCCAAAGCATTTTGAAAGGTCTTCTGTTATTCTCTGCTTGGCCTCTTGTTTTCTAATGCCAGTCATTAATAAGCAGTATAGTTTTACTTTGAAGAGGTAAATGCCCAATAACAATATTTGTTACTTGCATTGAAGTCCTTTTTTCATTTCCATAAACTAAACTTACTAATGTAAAACTCTAACTTACTGACTTTTTTACTTTTTGAGCTTTCTTTGGTTAACAGTCACCAAATGCTTGCTATGAGCAAAAATGTATGGGTGTTTAAGGAAAGTCCTGATATTCTAGTAGTATAGAAGTTCTTGCTGTGCATCTGGCTTAAAATGTGACTGTGGTGTAGTTAGGGGTTTCTTCTGAAGAAAAATTATCCCTTTGACCATGCATATTTCTTGGAAATCTTGTTTTTGACTCCAGTAATTCAAGAGAGTGTATACACTTCAGTTTTCTGTCTGAGTCCCAATTTGAAAAGTTATTTCACAAACATGAAGCCTACTGATATGAAAAAAAAACCCATCCACCTGTAACTTTTTGTGTAGTTTGGATCTGTCTTTGGGTCTCAATTAGACTTTTTTGGTTCACAGAGTTTCCTGCACAGTTTCTGCTGTAGAGTTTCCAATTTAGTTTCCTCTGAGAGGTTTTGAGATGTGCAAACTTTAATCCTATAAGCCTGAACCAGCATGCCATAACTGGGGAGAATACAGATTTATTTCCATAGCACAGTAATGTTCCCAACCATAATATTATGGAAAACATGACCATCTAAAGAGGGATTTTGAGAAGACACAGTGAAAAATAGGCTTTATATTGAGCATAGCTTTCTGACATCATGAAGTCTGAGTTTCAAGTAGAAAAAAAAAAGTTTACTACAGTTTCAAATTGCAACTTTAAAATACCTACATTTTCCTTCCCATTCCCCAAGTGTGGAAATTGGGGAGCAGAGTGTTACGCATTTGAGAGATTGTATCTTATGACAGTTTTGCCTGTTTCTTTCTATTTATGACAGTAGTTATTCTTGCCATTACAATAGTTTAAAATACAAAATGACTGTACAGTACTGACTTCTGAGTGCTTGGACAGGCTTGATGTCAATATTTTTCATTAATGCGTTATTTGACCTTTTATGTGAAGTATATGGGTGTATATGCCTTGTGAGATTTGTTTAATAATAAGAAAACCAACATGACTTTTCTGCAAGACAGTCATAGTTAAAATTTTTGTCAATTTCTTTTGATAGTCATATGGTTTAGTTTTAGGTAGTCTTGCGAAGAGCAGGGAGTTGGACTTGATGATCCTTATGGATCCCTCCCAACTTGAGATATTGATTCTATGATTTACCTTTGGTTTCCCTTATGAAAAATCTTGGCTTTATCCCAAAAGGTTTGCTGTAAAAGATATTTACTCTCCAAAATAATTAAATAGAGGAACTAATATTTGTATATAGATTACTCTAGTGCTATATACTAAAATGTGACTTTTCAGTTCTTGATCATTAGCTATCACAGTGAAAATAACTTGAGTAACTAATTTTTTTGTTGTTAATCAAGTAAGCAATATTGCACGAATCTCAGGCTTCTCTTTTAATGAGAAATAGTAATTACACATTTTAATGTAATAAGTTGTACTCAGTTCTTAATGTTGATACTGCAGTGCCACTTTAAATCTGTGGATTAAAAGTTTAAAACTTGCTCCAAAGATCTTCTGTAAAAGTATGCTATTTCTAAAACCAATGTAATTGCTTCAGAAACTGATTCAGAGTTCACCTATTAGTTATTGTTATGATGCAGTACTTAGTAACTTAGGTTTTCCTGTTCAGTCAGGTGAAAGACTGTCATTGTAGACTCTGTATCTAAAAAGTGAATTTAATAAAATTAGCTCTCATTTTCTAATTTTGTCATTATATCCATGTGTTGGTCTAATGCACTAATTAAATGGAATTGCTGTGTTGGTGCATTGGGTTGTCCCTTGTTTCCTATCTATTTAGTTATTCCTAATGGTTATACTAGTTTCTCTTAAGTTTAGGTTTTTTCAAAGGTTACAGAAATCATGTATCTTCTGAGATACAATTTTTGTTATACAATGTAGACAATTAACTGTTGTAGTATTTCTAAGATCTATAAAACACAGAATTTTTTTTTGTCCTGGATGTTATGTGGTAGTGCACAGTTAGTAGCCCTAGTAGGTACTACTTAAGTTTCAAATCAATCTCTGTAGTAAAATTCTGTCACTCTTTGAATAGTTTTCATTACGGGTGATCTCCTATGGTATTTAAAATATTTTAATAAGACTGCTTCAGGGGACACTGCATTTACATTGAAAACTCTGAGGACACTTACATGAATACATTGTCTTTGTTCTTAAGCTTTTAGAAATCACATGTCCTTAGTCTGTTTTTCTTCAGAATATTTTCCGTCCAAATAGGTTTTTTTTTATAAAATGAATGCTAATGGTTTCCGTTATGTGATTTTCATTATTAATTCAATTTGGAGAGGAAGAGTGCTCAAATCTACATTTAGAACTTTTTGACTAATCAGAGAAATGGATGCGGTGTTTTCATGCCCTACTCTTTGTCTTCTGTTTGCATTTTAGCTTGGAAATTTCTCTAATTAAGAAAAATGAGGGACCCCGGTGGCCAGAGCTAATAATTGGTGACACAAGAGGGGAATTCATTATGGACTCTTCCCAGTGCTCTGAAATAGCCGAAAGCCTGATGCATCTTACCTCTGAAGTCATGGTGAGGAACTGAAGATAAAGCATTTAAAATTCTTGTATATTCACATGTTGTCTTGCCTTGATATCATAAGTCACACTATATTGACATAGCTCATCAGTTCATTTACTGTTCTGAATCCTAACTCTACATTCATTTTTAACTGAAACTGTTAACAAACTAATGGCACTAGAGTTGTGAATGTACTTTGAAAAGTAATATCATCCTCATGGGTGACTGAATTGAGCTTACACGATAGCGTCTGTGCACTAACAGAATCTGATTTAACATTAGAAATACATTTTGTTGCCACCATTTACCACGTGACAGCTTGTTTTAAAGCAGTTGATTTAAGTAATTTTGAAGGATGTCTGTTTTTTGTTTATCAATAGGCTAGCAACACTTTCATACTGTCTTCCTAATGATACCCTACTTGGCTTATACTGACTGTCAGTGTAAATGGCATTTTTAAAGGAAAATTTAGGAAAGCGTAAGCATGACTCATGAACTGTCTGGCATTATTGTGATACAGGGAGTCTACTTAAAACAAAATAAAATGTAAATTTTAACTGCTGTTTGCTTCATACTTCCCATTTTGGTTTAATTAGAACGTGGCATCTCATCTAAAACTTGTGAAGTGTGACTCCCTATGGGTCTTGATATATTAGTATTGGATTATTACTTTTTTTTTTATAAGGCTGAAAAGTGTTTAAAAAAATCCTGTTAAGTGCCTAAATTGATTTCCCTCCTCTCCCCACCTCCCTATTTGTGGACAAGATATTTTAGTACATCTTTTGACCATGATTTTATTGGGAACTTCATATTTCTTTTCTTTTGTAACTCATGCTGAACTTCAAATTATGATTTTGTTTGTTTGATTTCCTTTTCAGCTTATGTGCAATAGTGATCATGTTAAAAAGAAATCTTTCCTTAGGTAACTGTTCATTTAAATAAATCTTAAGTATTTGTTATACTGCAAATTTAGCTGCATATGTGTAATAAAGGCATGGGTTCTTTTTGGACATCTCAATTGCTTATGATAATGGTGTCTACCTGGAAGGTTTTTCTAAAAGCCACCCAATGAAGCAGTAAACAAAGAGGCCATCGAGAATGCTTGATAGAGGAGAGGTGAACCCCAAAGTCCAGCCTCTGAAGAGACAGATACCCTGTTTTAAGTCTCGTGCATTAGCCTACAGTCTATGACACTTCATTTTTCTTTTTCTGTCATTTAAGGACATTTCTTTGTTATCTCTTTAAAAAAAATTGTGCTGATCTTCTTCACTTTGTGGACTGAACCAAACTGAAGGTTCTTAATAATCAGCTGAAAGGATGAAGAAATGTGCACCAGAACTCAAGAACCCCCGTCAGATGAATTGGGTCTTAGTGCCCTGTGTAATCATTCCTTACACGTTCTGTTTGGCCTCAACTTTCAGATTATATTAGTTGTCAAGATGGTGTCTTTTTTTTGTCTACAAGAAGCAACATTAATTCATACTTAATGAGGAGTGTATATTTTTGCCTTCTGTTTAAGAAAGGTCCCTTTGTGTTATGATGAAGTTAGTTGTTTAAATGTATCACAAAGGTAATGTAGCTTGGTTGTTTTGAAAATTATCCAAGGTAGAGGTCAGTAGCAGAAGTAAGCTGTTTCTGTGTGCAGTAGTGTTCTATCTTGCTCTTGAATTACTAGTAAAAGTGAGGGGTTGTCCTTTCTTTAACTTGTGGGATATCAAAAAATACATATGCTTTTTTCTTGTTTTGAGCTCATTAAAAATTTTGCATAGCAGCATTATTCATTTTAAATAATTATTAGCAAGGCTAAAAGGAGGCATATTTAGAGCTACTTAAAAAATGAATTAATCCATTTTTTGATAGAATTTTGGATGACAATATGAAAGAATCTTACACTGGTGTAGATGTAGCAAACCTGCATAGGTTTTCGGGATTGTGTACTTTTGCTACTTACAGAAGGGAATTTATTGTTCATGTTTTAATGGCTTACGTACTTTTCCTTAAAGTGAAATTAATTTTGTTGTATCTACTGCTTATGCTATCCCACAACAGAAATGATTCTATTCACTTTAGGTAAGTGCTTAATAGCCTGATCTTTGAGTATGTAAGGATATGCAAATGATTCTTTCTCTTCTGATGAACTTTTTTTGTTATGAAGTAGGATTTTCAGTAAATTTTCAGTAGCTTGGATTTTCAGTGTAGTTCATTGTCTTTTTATTTCAGAATCCGAACCCTGAAAAGGAAAACCCACCCTGTAATGCACAAGAATTAGAAGAATGTGATGCTTTTCTTGAAGACAGCGCAAGCTTGTGCAGATTTGATGGTGATACCTTGAAAGTCACTCATGTAGTAAGTGCTGCGAATTATTACAGAAATATTTTTAAACATTTTTTTATGAAATGCAAGTTGAGTTCTATAATCAGAACAAAAATCCATGCAAACTTCAAATGACATTTTCTTCCATAGTGTAAAATCACAGTAGCAACAGAAATTATCAAATTATTCTAACTAATCCTTGTTCTGGTGCTTACCAGCTTTTACTGCAGAAGACCAGACATGATTACTTAGATCTTTTTCTAAAGTCACAAGTTGTAGGTTAGGATCCTTTTTCCTAGAAAACGATTTCTACAGAAAACACATATTCCTGTTTGCTTGTGTAATGTTTTCCTAAATATTATCCCAAGAAACTTAACTGAATCTGCTTGAAATGTATTAGCCACCTGTAGCGTATTGAGCTGTTGATCAGTGGGATGCAGCATTATGTATTCAAACATTCTGTCAACTAACAAACATTAAGCTGTTGATCATTTAACTCTGGCAGTATGTGTGGCAGAATCTCCTGTTTATGTTTTAATCAGTATTTTGCGTTTGTTTTGTTTCCAGATTAATCTTGGAAGCAACCAGTATCTTTTCTCAGTTGTTGTGGATCCCAGAGAAATGCCGTGCTTTTGCCTGAGGCACGACGTTGATGCTCTGCTCTGGCAGCCCCATTCTGACCAACCAGAGAACATGTGGGAACACATCGCAACTTTTAATGCTTTAGGTAGGAAATTAACTTTTTTTTCACACTCCTCTGAGTCTTTTTTACCCGAATACTTTTAGTATGGCTTCTGTTGATATTTCACTTAATTAAATTTGAACTGAAAGGTACTATAATTCTCTTGATAGCAACATGCTAGCTTAATTTTAGAAATACTGGAACACAAATAAAATGTTTATGCCTTGGGCAGAAAATAAGCCTTTTCAGACCATATACAGAATGTAACTATAGCACTGCACAGTAAAAAGGGAGAGTAACCTGCATAAGTGAACTAGAGTTAAAGACTTAAAAGCACAGTCAGCACCTTAACACACAGAAATGGTCAGGGAAGCAGCTGCAGTTCATTCATGACACACATAGATATATATGTACTTACAGTAAGATGTTTTAAAGAAGCGACCTTTAGAATTTTCCTATCTCATTGTCCCACTGGACAAGTCTGAAGAATTGGAAATATTTGTTCTGTTTCTTCTGTTATAAGAGCTAGGAGCCCCTATATATGAGAGCTAGGATGATGTACCAGCTAAGTGATCTTGGTACATAGTATATTCAAAAGAAGCTAAAAGATATGCTTCACATATCCTCATTTAAACTACAGAACTCTCTGCTGCAAAACTTTGTTGACATAGAAAGTTTTCATGAATTTGAAAAAAAAAAATTAAGTGAAGAAATTGTTGTGATAGGAAAAAACAATCAAGAACCTGTGTCAGCTCTGCCTCAAAAAGCCCCTGACTGTTCTGAAATTACAGACTGCCAGAAAAGTAGAAAATGTGATGTGAAGAATCGTTAGTTGTACTCGGGGCTAAGAATTTGGTTACAGTCACAAGCTCAGAAGCAGAAAGTACTTTGAAAAATATGGGTGCAAAAGTAAGAGTTGCCGAATGGGATCAAATGGGATGGTCCACATAGTCTGGTATTGCACATATGAAGTAAGAAACAGATAAATCAACTTTCATTAAAATTAATCTGGTCCGGAATCTACTTCTGCTGTGACAAGTCTAGTCTCCATGTTCCATAGGTGTTCTCTAGACCCACTCCGTCAATAATGCCAGGAGTGTGACAATTTATCCCCTCCCTCCAGCTCCCAGATAGAGTTGTTTGACCACATCACTCTGGGTCCAAGATGAAAGGGAAGATGTTAGCTGCTTTATAGAGCTCACATAGATTACCGTAACACATAATTGGTTTTATTGTGCGTTTTTGCAATTTATTTAGTTTTTAATATGAATTATTTTTAATAGCCTGTTATTTTAACTTAAGATCAAATTAAAATGTAAGCATCTTAACAAAGTTCTCTAACAAAAGATATAAATTTCATAATTTGTTCTTTGTTTAGTCATTTCAAATTTCATTATGCTGGGGAAAATAGCGGATGACAGGGATTAAGATGTTTTTTCAGATAACTGTTAGTTTCAGGTTTCTATGCTGACTTTGTAGTGCTGTTTTAAGAATGTGTTTCCATTGTTTTGAAAATAACAGGAAGGAAATTATGGTATCTGAGCTTTTTGTACCTATGGTGATAAAAAACAACATTGTTAGTCTACTCCTTTCTCTTTATTGTACTATCATTTTACAGTATTATATTGAAGTTTATACTTCTGTACTGATGTAATTCACCTTTTATGTGCCAAAGATGATGCAAGTCATCAGCATGTTTATCTACAGCCAAATTGAGAAGTACTTTGCAAGAGCTAGTAGTAAAAATCAGTATTTTCTAGATTAAAAGGCTGATTTTCCAAAATCTACAGTATTCATTATATTGACCAAAGCAATGGTAGTAGCCCTATTTCCTTCTTCCTCTGCTTGAACTTTTGGAATTAGTTTTTAATAAGCTATACAAAGATTATGATTGAAAAATTAATATTTATTCAGGTCTTGAACTGAAACCACCTCCCGCAGGTAAACCGGCCAGTCTCTGGGCAATGGCTCCTCTCCCCAACCCCTCTCCCCCCCTCCCCTATTTCTCAGCATGTAATTTTATGGCATGGAACATCTCTTTGGTCAGTTTGGTTCAGCTGGCCCTGTTGTGTCCCCTCCCAGCTTTTTGTGCGCCCCCAATTTACTGCCTGGGCTGGGATGAGGGCATGGAAGTTGGAAAAAGAGAAAGCCACGACAATGTGCAAGGACTGCTCAGCAACAGCCAAAAAACTCATGTTGTATCAACACTGTTTTAGTCCCAAATTCAAAGCACAGCACCTTATGGTCTTCTCTGAAGAAAATTACCTCTGTCCCAGACATTTGTACTTTGACCTCTACCCTATGATAATAAGCTATAGGTACGTGTGCATCCAAAATACTAGTTAGGAAGATGTACAGAAGAATTGTATATTGGTATTTAATAACAACATATATCTCCTTCATTCTTTTTTTGTTACTAATTTCGTATTATTTTTTAAGCTAAGCTTGATTTTGTCTTAGCCACTTGAAGTGCTGTTGAAACCAATATATTACTTCTGCGTCTTTTTGGGCTGTGCAGGTTATGTCCAAGCATCCAAGCAAGACAAGAAGTTCATGGCTTGTGCCCCAGATTACTCCTACGCTGCTCTCTGCGAGTGCCTGCGGCGCGTTTTCATCTACCGCCAGCCCACTCCGCTGGCCACGGTGCTCTACAACAGGAAGGAGGGGAGACAAGTCGGACAGGTTGCTAAGCAGCTGGTAACAACCCTGGAAGCCAGTGATCCTATCTTAGGCTTTCAAGCTACAAGCGAGAGATTATTTGTTCTCACAACAAAAACCTTGTTTTTAATAAAGGTGAACTCTGGAAATTAATTATTGAGTGTATTCTGCTGTAATTTGTGTTAACAGTTTGTTAAAGAGCTGGCGAGGTAAATGATCTGAGAAGTTCAGTACAATTCGCTGAAGTTTAAAATGGAGATATTTTACAGGGGAATCAATTTTTTTCATTAGAATTTGTCTGTAAGATAGTGAGAAAGTTTTTCAACTTTGCTGTCACTGAGGTAAGCTTTTTCAGAGCTATGGTGAAACATCTTTACGCTAACAGCTTTCCCAAAGCGATTGTCAGAGGCTGCTATTGCATAGGTGAATAGATTTATGCATTGTTTTTTCCAAATGATTGTTTGCCATACTTTCGAGAATTTGCTTCTGTTTTTAAATGCTACTTTACCTATGAAAGTAGCAGCAGATAAAGAAAATAAAACCTTGAGTTACAAGCAAAGTTGTGTGTATCATAAAAAAAAATAATCCCAAATTCATATACTGTTAACCAAAAAAATGATATAATATCTCAGTATTCAGTAGTTTGAGTGAAATGTGAATGGAATGAATGGAGTGGTATGTTTCTTATACAGGCCATTAATTAAAGTGGAATAATTTCATTGTATATGCAGATTTTAAAGTTTGATTTGGGACTTACTCATGCCTGCAGTGAAATCTGTTCACATTTTAAAAGACACTAGGATAGCTTTTAGTAGCTTTTTCTTGAAGCAAAGGGTGAATGTATGGCTGGTGCTTACATATGGAATGGTGTTAGTTATACTCTCAGTTGTATCTTTCTCACTTGGCATTTGTACTTCTTCTCAAGTGTTTAATTTGCAATTAATAGAGAACGGCTCACAGAAAAGCACCCGGATTGTGAGCTGAGGTGGGGGCTCAGAAGCGCTGCTGCTGCCTCAGGTACCGCTGTGAATGCTGTGCTGCTGCTTCACCGTCTGGCCGTGACACCCGAGTCCAGACCTGGTGATGTGTGATGTCAGAGTACACGGGCCACGAGGATGCTTCTAGTTAATGAACTGGCTTGGTTAATTTTGTTGAAAAGTTGTATCTGAAGATTTGTGTTTCTTATTTTAAATTGACATTGTCAATCCAGTTAAACCAAAAAAGGGTCAATTGTGACCTCCAGAGCTCCAGTCTGGGTTGGGTTTTTTTCCCAGTTTTGTCACAGCTCTATAGCAAAGAATGCCTGATCAATGTACTGTGTGCTGGCAGGAAAGCTGCTGGGATTTGTGGTATCAAAGTGCTGAAACACACACAAATTGCTGGGACAGGCATAAATGCAACAAGTGGCCTAATAGTTTGCATCTCTTCCAATGCTATTTCAGACCTCTGTAGGAGAGGAAAATAAGTGTTCCTTTCTTAGGGACTAACAGTTGTTAGTTGTGATAGGTTTTGACCCTCCTCAAAATTCTCCAGAATCTCTTTTGTATTGTTGAAATGATTAAAGAATATAGTGAGAATTTAAGGTGGAGACCAGCAGTTGTGACTTGCAAAAACCCTCCAAACTCAGTAGCTTTTCAAGGAACCTGATTTTCCTCACTCTTACAGCAGTGTTACATTGTATATCCAATATTGAAAAGTTTTTCCTTGTACCCAGGTAAGTTAAAACAGACTTGATTTGCAAACCTTCCCTTTTTCTGTATTTCTTATAACTGTTTTCAAAATGCTTTCTTAAATGGCTCAGTGAATGTATTACTGTTTCATGACTGTTTTGTATCTAAGTTTTCATTGCTGGGCAATAATGTCAAACAAGGTGGTAGAATTCATGGAGGGGTCCTTTAGAAAAGGTTTGATGAAATTGATTACTTTGCAGCATAAAGTAAGTGCTTTGAGATTTTTATGATTATTAGTAACCTGAGATTTAATCACTGGGAATGCAGAGTTAAGAACACGTGATGCTTGGGGAATGGAGGAATGCAGAGGGAGGGAAGGATCTGTGGGCAAGGGGTTTTTGTCACCTCAGGTGTATTTCAGGAAACTTCAGCACAGATGAAGTTTCAGCTGTTCTTTGTCAAATTCTCTTTGCTGTGGGTTAGATGTCTGGAAACATACTTCTGCTGTCTCTGCAACACAGGAAACGAAATCAAGTTAAATGGTTACCTCTTCTGAGCCGGTGTGATTATGTGTAATGCCTAAAACTCACATTCTGCCCAAATGTCCGTTTCATGGGAGTTCGTTTGCTCCTGGGAACAACTGAACATGGGGAAGAGGTTCATCCCTTTTTCCATGTTACTCATCTGTTTGCAGTCATGGTGTTCTCAGAAAGGATGTGTCAGATGGTAATCTCTCTTTTATTTTGCTTTCTATGAGAGTTAAGGACATTGTATTATTTTAAAGATTTGTTGCCTTGAGGAACCTCGCATGCTGTTGCACACCAAGCTACTGCAACTAAAAGGCTGCAAGCCACAGGGAGGCATGCACTGTTAGGACTTTCCATTTCTGTGCTCACTTAATTTTAAAGCTGTTTTGTTCAGTGTATTAATGTAGCCTTGTACAAGGTATAGAATGTGGATATTTTAAGAGAGATGGTTTTCTGAGAACCATAGTTCAGTTTTTCTAGGATTTTATTTCTTGAAATCTTACATTTTAAGACACCGTACTTCCTGAGAGGTCTCAATCGCAATCTGTTTACACGATTTCTGAGAAAATATTTGGCTATTACAGAGTTGCATTATTTATTTCTAATATTCTTTTCCAGTGTTTTTCTTGGCTGCATATTTGGAATGTATCATGTATTACTCTACAAGTTTCAATAAATGGAAAAAATGTTAAATTTATTAATAAAGGGGTTTTTAAATTATTTTAAAGGATTTCTGTTCATTTCATGCAAACCTGCATCCTTCCTATGCTACTGAAACAAAATAGAAAAATAGAAATAAATTCCTTAAAATAAGACGAACTGTGTTAAGAAGCAAAACCCATGTGCAGGGGTCTTCTTCATGTCCCGTATCTGCCAATATACAGTTTACAAAGGCAGTTACTGGAGGGGGTTGATACGTATTCACCTATGTTCTTGTCTAAAAGTGCATGTTGGGCCCATGTGAACCTCATGAGGTTCATCAAAACCAAGTGCAGGGTCCTGAACTTGGCTCAGGGCAACCCCCGGTATCAACACAGGCTGGGGATGAAAGGATCCCTTCCCCCAGGAAGGAACGGGGGTTCCCCCAGGAAGGATGAAGGGATCCCTCGTCCCCCAGCCTGTGTTGATACCAGGGGTACATGGGTTTTGCCAGAAGGGAAGGAGGACTGCAGTAGTGCAGGTGACCTTGCCGTGCAGACACCTATCAGCTCTTTGCCCTAACAGCAAGCTGCTGAACACAGCAAGTCTTATCTCGAGGTGTTACTTCTTCTGTGGGAGAGCAAAATGTGCGTGGTCTCCTCTCCCATAATGGAGTCAGTGGTCCTTGTGGTGTTCCATCTCCTTGCTGGGTGGGTCAGATACACATCGCTCAACTGAAGAAGGAAACTGCCCTTGTTGCAAAAGGACTGTGCCCTCATTTACCCAAACACAACCCGCTTCAGGTCCTAACGCTGTGCTCTGGCTGGCAGGGTTGATTTTACAACCTGCTGCTGCACTTGGGTTTAGAATTTCCTGCAGCCAGTCCCACGTGCCATCGTAACAGCTTTCTGGCCATCTGGGGAGATGTTTCCCCACCTCCCCAGGCAAGGCACCTGCGTTTGTGCTACAGATAAAGATCAGCGAGGTCAAAAGAGAACTTAGCTGCAGTCGTTGAGGTAATAAAACGAAATATCAACAAATTCTTTTGGTCAAGGCTATTGCGATAATTTCAAAATCAAGGTTTAGTACTATTTCACTCTGAGAATTATCTGCTGAAGTTATTGTTTTCCTTAAAGAAAGGTGTAAGCTACTTCTGAAAAAATATTTTCTTTTTACAAAGATGCTTACAGTGATGTGGTAGCTGGGTATCAATTAAAATCTGATGATGGATATAAATAACAAGTTCAGATATAGACCTGTAAAATACTTATCATAATCTTTATTGATCTAATGCTGTAGGCGACATATCCTGTACAAACCACTCCAGTGTGGTTTTACATTCTAATTAAATTGGTACTTGCAAGGAATTGTCAAGGACATTGCAAGAAACTCAAATTTTTAAAAATCAGTAATTTTGCAGTGTCACTTTCATTATGCTATGATGAATATACATTATCCACTAGCTTTTGGTAACGCATTACTTGCTTTATGAACGTGCAAGAGTCGGGTGTTTATACGTTTGTATTTTCAGCTACATCTATATGTGCATATGGGTATGTATTTGTTCTGCCTAAAACATTGAGGACGACGGGGTGGGTTCAGGAGAGGAGAACCTTTTGATGTTATTGACAGCAAAGCCTGGATTCCTCATTAACTTGAAGCTTTTCCAAAAATGCCGTGGCTGTTGGTGAGAGCCTGTCAGGACGCCGGCAGTCTGACCTCAGGCAGAGACATTCTGCTGTGTGCTGAAACATGGATTTACACCTGGCAGTAAGTTCGTGAATGTGAAGAAATCGTGATTATTAATTCAAAGGTTCCTTGGAATGTGCATTTTATTTTTGGTTTTCCTTTCTGCCACAAGTTTTCCTGTGCATGTTGTCCCACATCAAAACGCAAACGCCTGTAAGTGTGGTATAAACGTGTTGTAATGTCATGAGAACTGCTGGATGTGAAAATGTCAGTTATGAATCCTGTGGAGTTTTTCCTCTGCTGAGGATTAAATATATGGTATCTCAGTATTGCATTATGGCCAAACAGCTCAGAGGCCAAGTATTGAGCAGATGCCTCAACTTGGAAGAAATAATGCAGGAGCAATAAGCATTTATTTTTATCAAAACAAGTGAGGTTCAGTGGGAAAAGAAATAAGATCCACTGAATACTAATTCAGTCACTTTATCACTGAAATTGCTGCTGATTGGCTTTTAATGATTTTTCTTTTTGAAGCTCTTCATTCTCCCTATTCCGTGTGTCCCCTCTAATAAATACAGAGTACCTCATGCTCATTTAGGGTTGAACAATTTATTGGAATTTCCTGAATAACTGAATTAGACTTGCACATGGGTTATCTAAAATATGAGCACGAGGGACAAGATGGATATGTTTAGTCATAAAGAGACCAGGAACCACAGGCTCCTGATTTGATGAAGAGCTGATGACCATCTAAACAGAAATAAAATCTGCTGCTGCGAAGACATTTTCTTGAGTTGCAACGTCAGATTCTAGGAAGAAGCACAGGAACCTGTGCAGAATGAGCTTGCTTAGGTGAGATAAAATATACACAGGGTACCTTTGAAAATTTCCTAGAAATATATGCAGTGTTCCATTCAGAGCAGTTGGGCTGATCAGAAAGAGAACATGGGTATGATCAAGATTTCCTCTGTTCCTGTTTTATATGCACTTGGCAAGGGTAAGTCAGGAGCAGACTCGCCTGGGTGCTGCTGTGACCAGCGTTGCTCCTTTTGGGCCATTTCTTGCCTGATGTAGCTCCAGGTGCTCGCTGCTTTCTAAAAAATTCCCAAGTATAATAGCTAACAAGATATTTAAATAAAAAAGCACTGGCTACTGTTGGCGGTGCAGTTCTGAACCGCTTTGGATGCAATGTGACATCTGTGATAAAATCTTCCTTTTCACAAAAAAGCAAAAAAGCCCTAAAACTCAGGCTGCTTTATTGTTGTTTGACAGTATTTTCTGGGAAGTATGTCAATAACCTTTTCCTCTCTGTTCCTAGAAATCTTTGTCTTGTGCTTTAAAAACCAGATGCAATATCCTCAGTGTTTGAACGTGGTGAGTCCTAATGCCATGGGGACATCAGTGTCTCTGTCAGTGACAGCCTGTGCCTCAGAGAACAATCAGCCTGCAAGGTGCTTGAGCTGCTTGCTATTCCATCGGGGAGTGGGGAAAAAAGTGAAGTCAGCTTATTTTTAATAGGTTCCCTATGTCTGTTTCCAAAGCTGCAGTCTTGGAGCTCCATGACATACTGGAAGGTCTCAGGTGCCCAGACAAAGGGAGCTGCGGGGTAGTTTGCACAACGTTTCACTGCATGAACACGTCTGATGTGTCTACGCAGATTTTAGTGCTTTTAGTTAACTATCACAATCTCTTTTTTCTATGATAGAAAAAAGTTAACTTGTTAACTGGCTGCAGCAACTACTTTGCAAGGAGAGAGCACAAAGTTGGCTCTTGGAGATGCATTTTTATACCAAATGCGATTTTTACCGTGACAAATTGTTTATGTGTTTTTGACTTCGAGTTGATTAATGTTTACAATTAATGAATTCCCACAACTCAGATTTTCTAGTGGAATTATTCACAGGCCCGTAGGTAAACATAAGAGAACACTAATTCAGAACTGGAGATAATTAGCACTTCTCATTTGTATTTAATTTTCAGTTGGATACTGAACTAAATTTCCTGGAACCTATAAAAACTAATTCACTTTGCAACTCTTGAGTGCTACTGACTGAGAAGCAGAGCTTTGCCTCCTAAGTAGCAGCAGTGATCGAAGTCAACAAGGCCGGGGAGAACTAGTGAGCACTTCATGGTGCTTTAAAAGCATCCTGCTAAAAGCAACCTGCCAGTGCAAAGGGAGCGAAGCTGCTGAAATCCTATCACTCCTGGATGTTCCTTCAGCTCAGCAGCCCTCATCATTCCTCAGCAAGATTAAAGCCGAGGAGGAAGTGACTTGTGGAACCGAGCCCGTCCTGCTTTACAGCTCTGCAGAGATTCTGACTGCATAAAGCTGAAACAATAATGTGTTTGTACCAGCGATGTCCAGCTGTGCCCACAGGCACAGGATCTTCCTCTGAAATGCGAGGTATGTGTGCGGTTGGGTTTGAAATATAAAATATACAATAAAGTGGTCAGAGCAAAGCTCAGTCTTTCCATCTCTCATGTCCCTTAACTGCTTCAGGGTACGTGACTCCTCGTACTTTGCCACCAGCAAAGCGGTGGCTGTGCTCTGCTGCCTGCAGCCCCAGGCCCCCAGCTTTGGGATGGCACTTGTACAGAATGGCACGGCTCCAGTTTTCCTTCTCATCTTTCCATCTCATGCTCAGCCCTTGGTGTCTCTGCCGCTCAGATGGAGGAAACTCTCATGTACTGGGTTAAAACCCCACTCCTCAGCCAGCCCTTGCTGTAGTCCTCTGCCTGCTGTGGTTTATGGCAGCACTGAGCCCTCCTGGGCTTCAGGAAATGGGTGTCTCTTTCCAAGCTTTTTTCCCAAACTCCTCAAAAGATGAGTTTAAGTGTAGCATGACAGGCAATGAGCAGGTCTGATGCTAAGGGCTCCTGAGGGACAGTACATATCTCTGACCCATGGTTAAATCATGGTGCTTCCATGTCCTGTCCAGGCCAGCTCTCTCTTCCTTCTCTATTTTAATAGAGGAACTTTTTGTGCCTTTAGCTGTGGCGTGGGTTAGAGCTCCTGTGATGACAACACAGAGCCCAAATTCAGAGAAACTCTTCAAAAGCCAGGTAAAGGAAGGTGTGTTGCTTTTTAAGCTCTTTTGAATTTTTCCCATTCAAATGCTTGAGAGGCAGCAGGTTCTGAGACTGCTGCCAACTGAGAAACACGTTCAGAGAAAGCTGAGGGTATATTTTAAATAAATTGAGTATCATATGTGTTTATTTGTATGAAAATGTGCACAGAAGACGAGGAGAGAAGCGAGCCATATGGCAGTGGTTACAAATGGCTGTACTGTTTAGGGAAATTAATAACTCTGAGCATTGATATATACGAGCCTGCTGGGGTTCAGATGTTCGCATGCTGGTGCTTCAAGAAACTATCT